TCTGGGCTTTGAGGCATTCCAGATTTTAGGGAGAATCTGCACAACAGCAAGTTTTAGGAGTTGTTTTTTTTTAATCAATTGAATAAAAAGTAATGAGACATTGCTGTGTGTTTTTTTTCTTTATACCTTTACATTAGCGTAGTCTTCGCCTCTCCAAAAGCTGGCCTGCAACTTAAGCCTGTTTTCAGCTAAAACGGGGTGTATTATATAATCCGCATCATAAGCCTTGAAATTCCCCTAAGCTTTATACTATATTCTCTGCTTATATACTCTTAATTCTTTTGAGTTGTAAATTTTCTAGTCTGTGACTCATCTGTGACATTTCCCGTTATATTATAGACCTCAGGGTGACAGAGCCAGGCTTCAGGGGCTCTTTTTCTTTTTAATCTTTCAGAACTGTGATTTATATAGCTGCCGTCAGATAATGGTGGTGTTCACATAGAACTCCCCTATCCAAATGACTCTGCAAATATAAAACTTAGATAAAAATTAAATTTTTGTTAAAATAACAATGAATCCCATTTAAAATAGTCATAATTACTTGATATAAATACAGTGAATCACAGTTTAAGCCAGAGCCAAATTTTGGGGAATACTAATACTAATGCCTAATACTTAATCAAGTACTTTTCTTGCTCATTTTCAACTGCTATGAGCCATTGCATAATTAAACCCTGCTTCTTCCCAGAGCTAAGTAGAAACAGCTTCTCTCATCTTTATCGTAAACATTTTAAGTTTTCTATGGTTTTAGAACTGGCTTATAAGTTATTTTCTCAGGGTTTTAATGTTAAGTTTGTAAACTACCTACATACAACTTTCCAAAGAGACCATTCTGAGCTGATCTTAGAATTCCCAGTTGCAGCTGGGCTCAGTGGCTCACGCCTGTAATCTTAGCACTTTGGGAGGCCAAGGCGGTGGACCTCCTGAGGTCAGGAGTTCCCAATCAGCCTGACTAACATGATGAAACCCTGTCTCCAGTAAATGCAAAAAAATTAGCAAGACATGGTGGCTCACACCTGTAATTCGAACTGCTTGGGAGGCTGAGACAGGAGAATCGCTTGTTCCCAGGAGGCAGAGGTTGCAGTGAGCTGACATCACACCATTGCACTACAGCCTGGGCAACAAGAGCAAAACTCCATCTCAAAAAAAAAAAGAATTCCCAGTGACTCCTGCTAACCCTGTTTCTCCCTTCACTCTTTAAGTGTGCAGAAATTCTTCTTCTCTCTGTGGCTTTGTGCCAAAAGGAGTCTACCAACCCAAGGAAGTACGCAGAGGGAAAAAGACTATTGGTTGCCCAGAGTAGGTTGGCCATTCTAACATGGAGAATTGTTTGCTTTTGATGTGAATCTTCTCCTCTTCTAGCCCCCTCCTTTGAAACTCAGAAATGATATAAAATCTAATTAGACTTAACTGTTTAAAACCTTCTATTAATTCCCAAAGCAGAACCATGTCTTCTTACAACCAGCTTCTGTTTATGTTTTGTTTTGCGAGAAGCCTGGCACTCTTTTCCTCTTGAAACTTGCTTTGTAAAACATGTTTCAGTAAAACTTGAACCATTTCAAAAATAAATTGAAGTTTCTTTAGAAACTCTAAAGATTGTATCTCTGAAAAACTTTTCATTAATCATTTGCCAGATAATCTAGTATCATTCCCACTAATCCCTTGCTCTTCTTTTGGCAAGTTCTCTTGAATTCTTAGCCTGGAGTCACAACCCTTGATTCTCAACCTTCAGCTTAGAGCTCCACCACGGCAATTAATCATGTTTGTCTCCATGACAGTCAAAGATATTTTTGTTTCCAGAATTTTCCTATATTCTTTGCTCTTTCTAAATTTCTTTGCAAATTTGCTACTCATCTTTGTTTTGTTCTGTTTGTCGTAACTAACTCAAGCATACCTTTCCTATAGCTAAATTAAGTGTAACATTATTCTCTGATTACAAACCTTCCCCAATTTGACTTTCCGAGACTTGGCTTCTTCAAGAGTTAGTAGCTTGTACGTGGAATCAAGCATTTTGAAAAATAGAAACATACACGTGATACACATACATATATATAAACATATACATATTTGTAAGGAGGTATAGACCCAATCTGAGTAAACATCTAATCTTAATCATTGGATTCTAACTACATCTATAACATCTTGAGAGCTTTAAGAAGCAAGAGACTAGAAAAGAAGAAGATTCACATGAAAGACAAATATTTTTGTGTAGGAAAAACCAATCTATTTTAGGTATCTGTGTGTGTGTGTGTGTGTGTGTGTGTGTGTGTGTGTGTGTGTGTGTACATATATATGCATTTGATTTGTAAATATTTAATATGCACTCTTGATGCACCAAGCACAGACCCACATACTAGAAAGAAAGAGAAATAAGTGACACTTCCTGTTTTCAAGATTCTCCTGATCAAGGGAAAGCGATACATACCATAAAACATAATACATTATAATAAATCTTGTTTTTACAGAAATAAGGGACTTGGGGAGCAGAAAAACAGGTGTATTTGATGAATTATTCCTGATTAATTTAGAGATGACCTTGGTAGGTCCTAAGCAGAGGTTGAAAGATGGGGGAAAAACACAGAAGCAGAAAATGCACAAAATAATCAGGTAACAGAGACTTACAGAACAAAGACTTTCTTCTGAAACATGGCAGGAATTTAGAATAGTATTATACAGTTTGGACCAGATATGAAAGTTTTTAAATGCCTTCCTAAGATTTCATTTTACTTCAAAGCAACTGGACACTGTGACAAGATATTAAGTGAAGGAATGAAATCATTAGCTCTTCATTTTTCAACTATAATTCAGGATATAGTAAGAGGATTCTTTTTCTTGAGACAGGGTCACACTCTGTGGCCCAGGATGAGTGCAGTGGTATGATCACAATTCACTGCAGTCTTGAACCCCCAGGCTTAAGCAATCCTCCCACCTGAGCCTCCTGAGTAGCTAGGACAGTAGGGGCATGCCACCACACCCAGCTATTTTTTGTTTTATAACTTACAGAGATGGGGTCTCATTATGTTGTCCAGGATGGTCTTGAACTCCTGAACTCAAGTGATCCTCTTGCCTTGGCCTCCCAACTTGTTAAAATTACAGGCATAAGCCTCTGTCCTCCAGCCTAAGAGGATTATATGTAAGGATGAAGAGACAAGCAGAAAAATCAATTAAAGAGTTATTACAGAGTTGATGTTCCTATTCATAAGCCATTCTTTGGAGTAATCGCAGTATCGGGGAAGATGGCAACTTATAGGAGACATTTTAAAAGGAGAAACTACTTGGTTTAGTGATGAAACGATGTTGAAGAATTGGGGGAAAGGAGAAGACAAGGATGCACTGAGATTTTTGGTTGAGTGGCCGGATACATGACAGTACCATTAGCTAAATTTGAGAAAATAAGAGAAGAACATATTTTGGTATAAAAGAAGTACTTAGGGGACACTTGGAATGGAAGGCACTCACGTAGAGATTAACAGAACGAAGTTGGAGCTCAAGCAGGAGGCTGGACATAGAATCACAGTTTTAAGACTCATAGGTAGAGCCATAAAAGTGGATAAAGTCAATACCAAGGGCAAACACATGGAGTCAAAAGAGAGCTAAACATCAAACTCTGAAGGAACATCACATCACAGGGAGAAGAAAAGGGGAGAAACCAGGAAGAGCCTAGAAAGAAGCAGCTAAAGGATAAGAGAAGTAGAAAGGCAGGGGCAACCAAAACTATGGGGAAAAAAAGTTACACAAAGTAAGGAAGGCCAAACATGGCAAGATTTCCCAAGGGGAGACTGTTGCTGATGATCAAAGCACTAGGAATTTTAGGAGAGCAATTCAAGAGAATGGAAAAAGCAAGTGAGATGCCCAGGGACATTCTGAAGAAGAGGAGAGAATGCAGGAGCATCCAAAGCAGAGGAATTGTGTGACTCGAGGGGTCACACAGGCTTTGGGGAAGGATTGGTTTGATTTTGAAGTATTAAAGTGGCACAGAGAATATAATTTAAATCTTAAGACCTATTGCTTGTCATGAAGTTTAGAAACACAGAGACGTTGCTTCCCACGGGATTTAAGTTCCTTAAGTCCCTGCTGCATAAATCCCACCAAGTACTTAAGATACTTTTTACTGATGATGCACAATTTATCTTTCCTGACTATGACTTTGTCAACCAATGGGAAATATGATGAAAGCATATGATATCACAGTAAAATGGGGTATTCGAATTTGCATGATTTAGCTAGGAATAAACATTCTCTTTGGGGATGTCAAGGAAGAAGAACATTGAACACGTAAGCCACAAACCCCTTTTCCAATGAAAAGGCTTGGAAGAAGGTATCAAGGAGGAGAAGGAGAGAAGGAGAAGGGAGCAGTAGGTAAGACATTAGGGGAAGAGAATGTTTTTAGAAAGAGAAGGTGTCAAATGATGTGGAGATAATGAAAGGAGGCTTCTTTATTTGGAATGAAAATCTCACTCGGACCTTAAAAGAGCATTTTCAATAGAATGGTGATGCGGAAGCCAGACTTGGAGAGTGAATAGAAGGTAATGTCCTAACAGATCCTTTGGTTCGCATATGCAGTAAATAAGTTATCTACTATATTGAACAAACCGTTATATATAATGTGCCAGAGTATGTGTGTCACACAAATGCACATACATACAATGTGCTGATATAACAATGGCCTCATGAGCAATATATTTAGTGTAACTAACATTTGACATTAAGAACATCACATATATGTACCTATACCACAGTATACATTATATTTATCAAGATTCAAAAAGAACTCGTGTTTTTATTATTTTTTCTGCTCTTCTTTTTAAAAAATGTAAACTTTGAAACGAAATTGACATCTCAAGGAACATGATCTGATGCACCAATATAAAGAAAGGACGGTAAACTTAACCCTTTTTGAGAGGAATTGTATGCTAGAGTTTCTATGGTACTTCTTGATATGTGACTGAATTTTATTCTCCCTCTTTCTCTCTCTCTTCCTGCCCCCCTACTCCTTCCAGTGGAATGGAGTATGTCCAAAGACTTTTCTCCTTTGGCTGGAGAAATCATCATGGATAATCTGCAGACTCTGAGATGCACAATCACAGGACTTACAATGGTAAATGTCCCCTGGTAGACTTTCCATTTCCCTGTTGCTGATATTTGTGCTCAGATATTAGTAGCAAATGCCTATGCTGAAAACAACAGCCAACGCCCAGTCCTCTGGCAACAACTGTCACTCATTAAGCATGATATGTCTGGTATCTATAACCTGAATTTCACAAAGGAGTAAGCAGACAGCATGAATCACTTTGTTAATTGCCATGTTCTAAGGAGATCAGAAAAAGACTGGCTTCATGCAAGGCTTGAAAGCTGCTGCTTTCTGGATCACAGTCTAATCTTTTGTGGGGAAGGGGGAATGGATTAAAGGCTCTGAGAGATCCAATGTTGACTCCCTGTCTGATGGTAAAAATAACAGCTTCATCTCATCCTCATGCCCACAGCCTCAGCCCTGGTTGAGATCAGTCATCAATTGGAGTCACATAATTTCCTGAGAGAAAAAAATCCTTTTCCCTTGATTAAAAAAAAAAAAAAGTCTGTCTAAATATGCTTTCACAAAAAAGAAACTATATATGGTGAAGCTACATTTCTCAGTAACCTAAACCAATTTAAACTGTGAATGAAAAACTGGAACAAACTGTGCTTATTTGTTTAACTAATACAAACTCAAAAGTTAATTATTTAGAATTATGAATATATGAGTGTATGAAACGCAAAAAATAAAAACACCTTGTAAATCAGCTCAAACTGGAACAAACCCTGTATTTCCCCAAGCAATTAAAATGCAAAGATAAAATTCTTTTTTCTCAAAATATTTTAGAAGTAAAATTAAATCAAACCTTTTTCAGTCCAATTCAAATGTTTAATATCTTAGGACCTTCAGATGAGGGAAGTAGAGGGATAATTTTGTTATTATTGTTGTTGTTTTCTTGAAGGTTGGTTGACTAAAACAGTTATCTATAAAGTATAATCCTGAAAAACAGCCTTTAAAAACTGCATCAGGTTTAAACTGCTTATTCTAACGGAATTGTTGCTGGTTGGGTAACCACCAGAATCCTGACTTTTAGTCCTAATCGCACGGCTATACCAGGGGCCGGAACTGTGGATTACCAGAGCAAACAAACCCCTGAGTCGGTGGCCTCCAGAGATGCTATCAGTAGAAGACTGATTCCAACCCTATGGCTCACAAGATGGAAGAAGGCCAGAAGGAACTCTAGGGGATTTCCATTACTTAAAAGAAAAAGCGATATGGTGATAAAAATGGAAAACTCTCCATAAAGAGTTTCTCTAGTATCTGAACTAATTTCTATAGGGATTAAGTTTTTCCACTTGACCATCTAATGAGAGAAAGGCAGACACTAATTGTAATCATATAGAAGCCTAGGAGTAGATTTACCCTTCTACACAATCTCTATAACTTTGAGGGGCACAGAAACCCATTTTCAACATTAAAAAATTGACTTCCTAATATAGTAAGGTCAGTATTATAAGAGTCCTAGAAAAGTCTCTACAAAGACGTGCTTTTTTTATTACTTCAAATATCATTTTACAATTTTTACAAGCAATGTTGCATCAAATGCTGGCTTCTCAAATGCCCCTTGGTTTCACTGGAAAAAAAATATAAAAGCAAAATATAAAATATAAAAACTCAAGCAAAATATAAAAACTATGCAAAAAATTTTAAAAGGTTATCAGCAAACAAAAACAGTTCCTTAATTCTTAATGTCACAAAACAGCATTAAAGACTATAAGCCATTGTTTTCACAATGGCTGTAAAATTGAAGTCACATCAAAGAGCTAATTTTTTAAAATGTATATGCAGCTGAGTAAGGGATGTTTCTGAAAGTATATTTATTGTAGAATAAAATGTGAGACCAATCTAAATAATGTCCACCAATCAAGGATTGGTTAAAATACATGATACAGAATATTTGCTCACAGTGAAATATATGCAGCCACAAAAAGAACAAGACAGGTCTTTTTTTTTTCTTCTTTTTTCTTTTTATTAAGACCTGATCTTGCTCTGTCACCCAGCTGGAATGCAGTGGAGTAATCTTGGCTCACTGCAACCTCCACCACCAGGATTCAAGTGATTCCCCTGTCTCAGCCTCCTGAGTAACTGGGACTACGGGCACGTGCCATCATGCCCAGCTAATTTTTGGTATTTTAGTAGAGACAGGCTTTCACCATGTTGGCCAGGATGGTCTTGATCTCCTGACCTCATGAACCGCCAGAATGCTGGGATTACAGGTGTGAGCCACCATGCCTGACCAAGGCAAGTCTTTAATGCACTACTCGGAAAAGGTATTTATTATAACTTGTTCATTTTCTACAGCAAGTTGATCACTAAGGGAAGTGATAGCTATTGCTGTAGGGAGGGGAAAATGAGAATGATGTGAGAGTGGGGATTGCTATTTTGGGTAAACTTTGTAGTACTATGTGACTAAAAATTTACATATAGTTTTGGGGGGTTAGGAAAAGTCATTATGATATTTAAATTTTGAAAAGAAGAAAGTGCATAGACACTAAGAGGAAACTTCATATATGGTTACTGTGATAAATAAACATAATAATCAAGAAAAACCAGAATGCTAAAGTGTGGGCAACAGAGTTTCAAAGAGATGAAGGGGTTAATCAGACATAGCAATTTAACCCTATAACCAGAGAGTCTAGGGTAAAAATGATTAAATATAATGCCTGATGCATCATTTCAATACTTTGCAGGGCCAACAGTATTTTGTTCAAGTCTCGGCTTACAATATGAAAGGATGGGGACCCTCTCAGACCACGACACCGGCATGCGCCTCTCCTTCTAGTAGGTGGTGGCTGTGATCTCTCTCCAGCATGGTAACAGACTCCAGCTGCAACTCCATCCTCAGGGTGCCATTGCCATTCCCTTCCCCTACTGCTTGCAACCAACAAGACCTTCTTAGGGCAGCATCTGGGCCACATAATGAATGATTCCCCTGCAGAAATTCTCCTGGAGAAGCAGCTCAGTGGAGTGAAAGGAGAAGGAATTTGGAAACAGCCTGAATTTGATACCCACGATGCCTCTTTTGTGTAGCCTTCAAAAGTTGTTTAACAGCCAGGCATGGTGGCTCATGCCTGCAGTTCCAGTTACTAGGGAGGCTGAAGCAGGAGGATCTCTCGAGCCTAGGAATTAGAAAGTTCGAGGCTGTAGTGAGCTATGATCACATCACTGCACTCCAGCCTGGTAACAGACTGAGACCCTGCCTCTAAAGAAAAAAACAAAAACCAAGTCTTTAAGACTCAATTCCACATCTGTGAAAAGGGTCTAGCCACACCCTTTCACAGGGCTCCCGTGGGGATGGATCAGATGCCATGGTGGGAGTGGCGGCCCAGAGAACATACAGTCCATTGTCGCTCTCCTCTTCCTTTCCTCACCCACAGTGCACACACCCACATTACCCTGATAAGAAGATCAAATCCAACAGCTCTTACTGATCTGACACTCTGTCAGAAAAAAAGCTTCCTTACCAACAGCATTCCGCTACAAACCCACAAATATAATCTATAACATTTGTAGCGGTGGCTGAGAAACCCAGCAAAGGCTTTCTGGTTATTTGAAAATTAACAATCTATGCCTGGTATGTTTGGGCACTCTCTATTAACCAGAAAATGTAATCAACCAGAATAAATATCTCCGGACATAACATATGACAGATTTTTCTATGTAATGAACCCAGTGCTGTGAATTATATTTTCATTTTTGAAAACACTTTATTAATGTGAGTGCTGAAAGTGATATCGTATGTTTCTTGAGAGAGTACAAACTGCTGCATCCTTTGTGGAACACAATGTGCCATGTTATATCAACTGCCTTAAGAAAATCTGTTTCTTTTTACTTCATAACTCTACTTCTAGGAATCTAACCCAAGTGAAAAGAAATGCAGACAAAGGAGTCTGTACAATGACGTACAGCAATATACTCATAAAGTGAAGCATCATGTGTGGTAGGAAGAACTAAGTATCCAATATTAATTTAGTAGTAAAATATGATATGTCTATATTTATATCCATAACTACAAGTAAAATACAATCACTAAAAATGGCCTTTTAAAAAAACATTCATTGTGTGGAAAAAAAACTCCTACCATATAAGTTTTATGTAAAAAGAAAAATGCAAAATGTGGGATTTTTTTTCACATAACATTTAACTGTAGGTTTGCATATAATTTGGTAGGGTGTGTCTACGTGTCTTAATAACTCTCAAAATTTAACAGTGGACATTTGGGTTATGAGACTATGGATATGTCTGTGTATTTTTTTATAATAGCCATTTACCCAAGACCAGCCATGAATCAGGCTGTATGTAAAGGGCTTTTACATTCAGTGTCTCTGGATCCTTGCAGCCATCCTTCGTCATTGTTTCTGCCTTGTAGCTAAGCATCATTGTCACTATCATCTGCGTCTCTATCCCCATCACAGATAACCTTTATCAGACTCGTTATATGGAGGGCATTAATCTAAGTAGTCCACATGGATTAACTAATTTAATCTTCATAACGTACCTCTCGAGGTGATTTTTTTTATTGGGCTCATTTTACAGATGAGGGAACTGTAAACATAGAGGCACGTGTATACAAAGCCCAACATCTGAATTGGGGTTCAGAAATGTTACCTTTACGAAGGTCACAGCACTGGTACATGGCTGAGCCAGGACTCTAGCCTGAATTGTCAAGGTTCTGGCATGTCTTCTATGCTACAGTAACTAGTGTCCTGCTATCGGGCAGATTAAGAGCCAGCCAGCCATGCATGACTACCATCTCTGGTGGATTCAGATAATGACACCAGGTCAGACAGGGCCTTGGACCACCAATGCCTGAGATCCCTAGGGTCCCTGATTCTCCTGGCATTTGATGATTTCATTATTCTAGTCTTATTTGGACTAGTCATCTTTTTATTTCTAGTCGTTTATTTCTAGTCATCTTTTTATCGAAGATTTGTCAGAAGCACAAACTGGGAATTCCAAGATTAAGATAGCAAGGGACCAATCTCATTTGGGGATGGGGCATAGTTTGTGTGTGTGTTATGGGAGGGACAGAATATGCACAAAAATGCTAGTCTCAGTTGACCTGAAAGTGAGGCAGGTGTGTTGGGAAATATATTCCAAATGCAAGTTCTGATCTGCATATAGATGCATTTGCTGATAGAGATCAGATGTTCAGATTCTATAAACTGCAAGTTCCACTCAGACACTGTCTCTCACAGCCCACTGGAAGTGCCGTCTCCAGAATGACCAGAGTAGTTGTGCAGACTGGGAGGAGTGGTCACTTATTAACTGGTAATTAACATATCAAATAGCAACACTTTCTAAAATGGTATGTTTGATTAGTAAGGATAACGGGCAAAGAACTGAAATCCTAACATGTGGTTATAGTTGTTGCAGACATGCCCTATCACTTGGAAGGAACAATATAAAAACACTCCTATTTATAAACAGAGTATGACATTGTGATGTAACATATATCGGTATTCAGATATTTACTAGAGGACAATGTATTCTAACATGACAGGGTAATTGGAAATTTGGTAATATGTTCCAGTAGGCTATAAAACTTTTTTTATATATTTTTACAAAAGGCCTTAATGTGTTTTTATAGACTTATGTTATATGGTATGGTACATAATAAGAGAAAAGGACCCAGACAGGCTTGTCTGAGTTACGATCAGGAAAATCCTGATATCGCCAGTGAATGTAAGCTAGGCATTGTGTGGCAGTTGAAGTGTCTCATTACCAGAACAGTGAGCCGTATTATGTGGCACAACCCACTCTTTTCCTACCATGCTAAGTTTATTCCTGTCAGGTTCCTGATTTCTTAATATATTTTCAATTTTCTCCCTCATCCCTAAAGTCTCCTATTTTATGTAGTCGTCAGAACCTTCCAAACATCTATGAGAAAACTCATTCTTTCCACAAACCTTGGCATTATGTCCAGTGCTCACTTGGGCTGGAATTTAGCATTAGCAATTTTCTAATGTATCATAGAGTCATCAGATGGAGCTTACCTCTGATGTAATAGGGCTGAAAGAGACAGACTTATTTCAGCTTTCCTCACACTGACAGGAGCAGTCACACTCCTTAGAATGTGCTAGCATGTTCAGGGGCATGTGGTAATTCAGCCACCTAGGAGTCTTGCTCAAACACACAACCTGGTGTATCTTGTCATAAGCACTTCAGATGCATTTATCCAACTAAGAGAACAAACTCCTAATGGCCTTTGAGAATCTATGAGAGCAATGTTTATTCTCACTGTGCCCCAATTCTGGGTGTGCTGAAAATGATCTAAAGGTTACCAAGTGTTTATTTCCTCAAATGTTTTTGAACTTTCCAGTAAAAATTCTTTCCCATCTTATTCTACCTGAACACCATCATGCTTCTATTCACAATGCCTCACCAACATTTAATGCATCTGCTATGTGCCCCAGATGGTGCTTTGTTTTCTCAAACCTCAAACAAATTAAAAAGAGATTTAAAATCTCTGTAATCCCAGCACTTTAGGAGGCCAAGGCGGGTGAATCACCTGAAGTCAGGAGTTCAAGACCAGCCTGGCCAACATGGTGAAACCTCGTCTCTACTAAAAATGCAAAACATAGCCAGGCATGGTGGCACATGCCTAGGGAGGCTGAGGCAGGAGAATCACTTGAACTCAGGAGGTGGAGGTTGCAGTGAACCGAGATCATGCCACTGCACTACAGCCTGGGTGACAGATCGAGACTCCTTCTCAAAAAAAAAAAAAAGCCCGGCGTGGTTGCTTATGCCTGTAATCCCACCATTTTGGGAAGCCAAGATGGGCAGATCACTTGAGGTCAGAAGTTTGAGACCAGCCTGGCCAACATGGCAAAACTGCCTCTCTACTAAAGCTACAAAAATTAGCCAGGCCTACAGGCACACACCTGTAACCCCAGCTACTCAGGAGGCTGAGGCAGGAGTATCACTTGAACCTGTGAGGCAGAGGTTTCAGTGAGCCAAGATTGCACCACTGCACCCCAGCTTGGGTGACAGAGAGAGACTCCTTCTCAGAAAAAAAAAAAAAAAGAAAGAAAGAAAGGAAAAAAATCTGAGGCAAAGAGAAATTAAGTCATGGTTCTTGACCACAAGGAACAAAGAGTCTACAAAAGGTACCTATGCCAATTTCCTGTCTCCAGCGTTGACCACAATTAAGCCACACTGCACAAACTCCAACCAAGCTTCTGACCCTCCTTCCCAAGAGAAAATAGAAAAATCAAAAGCATGTCCACGGTATATGAAATGAGCAATATTTGAAGGGTCAGGAGATGACATTATTGCTCTGGCTGTGCCACTAACAAGCTGAGTCATATAGGACTGGATTGGTTATATTAGCCTTGGTCTCCTAAAAAGTAAAATAAAGACAGGTACATGGAGGAGGGTGGAAAGGAAGAAGGATTAGAAAATCTCTGAGCCCCCCTTCTTCATAGGTCATCATCTGATAGGGTACGAAATGGTGTTTCCATCATGAATTCCCTTCCTTTTAAGTTATATTTACAAAATGCCTGTCATGTAATGGGCATTGTGCCAGATACCAAGGATCTCTCTCATTTAATCCTCAAAAATATCCTGCAAAGTAGATACTATCCTCATTTTTTATGTTAGGAAGTAGAGGCCCTGTTGGTATAAGTAACTTGCCTGCAGACACTAAGCTAGGAATTGGAGGAGCCAGGATTCACACCTGGGTTTACCTGACTTCAAAATCTACGGTCCTCCTAACTGTGCCATACGCCTGGGCCTCGGATGAACCCCTGTGGAATGCTTTTAACTAACTTTAACTGTAACGACATCTACTTAAGTTTCTGAATGAAAGACACCCCATATTTTAAAATCAATCTTTGGGGGAAGGAGTTTGAGACTTGTTCAACTAGAATTGAAGCTCATGATACACTCATGAACGGATTGGCTCCTCTGGGGAAAAATGACAAGCAGTTTTAGAGAAAGCATCTCAATGACTGAGCACATTAAATTGTTGCTTTCTGTTTTTCCCTCCAGAAAGGAAAACTGGAGGAAAGGAAATGGAAGAAGGGATGGATCTTGAAATGACTGACCTGCTGAAAAAAAAATTAAGAGTGGAGACAGCAGAATTACAATCTTGACATTAGTCCCATATGGGTTATTACTCTTGATATCATTATAGCTGAACGGAATGAAAATAGAAGGGGGAGGAAAATCTCAGTGGGTATTGCAATTTAAATTGCCTTGTAAGCTAATACTGTATATTTAGAGACTGAGCAGACAGGGTGGTTGGTGGCTCAGAGTATGTGCAGGGGCTGCTGTGCCAGCTAACCAAAGCAGACATTCATTAGAGCAAAATGTAGATTTCCATTTCTTGGCATCTGACATGGGCTCTTTCCTTGGAAAGAAATGTCAATTTGGCCAAAAGTGTGAAACCTACAATAAAAGCACTGGGACTGTGGATTTCATCTAGTCTGCACATTCCCACCCCTTTCTTTCCTACTGTGAAAATCCAGTTGAGACTCAGGGTGCTTCGTGGAGAGATGGCAGAGGAACTGATTAGGATATAGAATCCTAAAAGGGGAGAAGGGGTTGGAAGAAGTGGGATTGGGCTCCCAAATTTCTATTTTCTTTTGGCTTTCAATTACCATTTTCTCTTGCCCTAAGACTGCCCGACACAAGAAACCAACCACAATTACTGTTTTGCACGGAGCTCTGAACAATGGCAGCTTCCAAACCCCTGGCATTGCCTGCTCGCTCTGCAAGTGTGGGGTGCTCATCCGCGGAGTCTGTGGGTAGCATGAGCGAAACTCCAGCTCCTGAGGCAGGGCGAGGAAGAGGCCTCCCCTGCTTTAAAATTTCACTATGTTTATTTCTTTTGTTCAATAGACTGGAAAGACTATGACGACAGAGAGCCCAGACACAAGGGACAGAGTGAAGTCTTGGAAGGTCTGCTGCAGCAGGTCCGAGCCCTTCATCAGCATTACAGTTGCCGGGGTAAGGATAAAAATCTGTGTTGGGCCATCAACTGAGGTCTCAGTGGCGCCGGTAATTTTAGCAGTTTCCTAACTGGGTCATACCTTCTCATTCATCGGGGAGAGAGATATTAATATTTGTACATCTGGAATCACTTTACAGCACTATCTTGCTTTAACCCTTCAGAAGAGACTTCCCTCTCCTGTCCCTTCCTCTCCCTCTCCCTCTCTCCATATGAACGGTTTGAAAACAAGCACAAGAAAAAAACCAGCTGCCCTGAGTTCCCTTCTCTAGGAATTGTCCCTTCACAAGACTCCTCAGTGGGGTTAGCTCTTTAGGATATTCACCCAAAAGCATTTTGCCTTCCAGGAAAATCCCCTGAGTTTCCCTGTGGGAGCCCAACCAATTATAATAACAACAACAATAATAATAAATCTCCAGATCTATTAATAATATAGTTTACAATTAAATTTCACATCCAGTATCTCATTTTTATCCTCATTTTGGCAGTCACCACTGAGGCTAAGTGGTATTGCCCAAGGTCACAATGCCAGGAAAAGACAGAGTCAGGTCTCCAAGCTGGATTTTTCTGGTTCTAAGTCCAGTCTTCCTGACACACTTCATTTTTGTCTCCCACCCTTACATCAGGACTGGGCACTAAACTGTAACCTCATCCTGAATTTTAATCTTCCTCTGTACCACTGCTCACAGGAAAGTAGAGCACATATTCCCTAGACTTCCACCGGTAACACCCAGAGAATCTCTGAGAAGCATTTAAAAGCTTCTTTTCTACTTGGGCTGTTCAACTGGGACAGGGTCAGATTTCTGATCTGTGTAACGATTTGTGGAAGAGGTACTTAGTTTTATGTGGAGAATTAAAGCCTCCATAAAGTTTTCATTTTCCATGCCCCCATCAGATCTCTAACTACATTGTGCTCTGTAAACTTAGGGTGCTGCTGGAACAGCTGGGTAAGAAATCCACTTTTGTGGAGGATCTCTTGAGCTCAGGAGTTCGAGGCTGCACTGGGTTATGATCATGCCACTGTGCTCCAGCCTGGGCAACTGGGCAAGACTCTGTCTCTAAGAATAACAAATTTTTAAAAGGAAAATCAAATCCACCATTGAAACTAAGAAGTGTTTGCAAGAAAATAATATTCTTCTAATGACCGGTTCATTAGGATATGTAAATATGCATGGAGTAGTTCTGAAACCCAAGTGCGATTTCCATTCCCTGACCTCTAAGAAGTCTTTACCCAGACCAGGACCATCAGCATACCTCACTGACCAAAATCCACTTAGTTCTTGGTTATCAAGGGGCTCCTTTAACCAGACCAGTTGTTACCAAAGCTCCTTTCTCATCTTCTGCCTCTCCATAGCATCCCTGCCCATTCGTTTCTGTATGACAGCAAAGGTAACAAAGTAAGTGGACAGATGATTCTTGGGAATTCATAAGCCACTGTGTGTTTGGTCTTGATCAGAGACGGGAAAGCTGAAATTACTTATGAGAATGAGAGATTTTTACAATATTATCTTAGGATTCGTGCTCTCCCCATTACCACTGGATTCCTATCTAATAATCAAGAAATGATTGTCTAGATGGCCAAATTTTTTCTATAGTTTCCATCTAACTTCTGTCATATAGATGCTTTTTTCCCAGAGGAATGTAAATATCCACACAATATGAAGAAAGATTTAAGTATGGCACAAGGTAGAACTTTCTAAAAAAGAAGAGTATATTTTATAGGGAATATACTCTGAACACTTAAACAGCACTCAAAATATGTTCCAAAGATCAGTGGTCCTATAATATGCTCAACTAAAAAAGGTTCTCTTGTCAGGTAAGTTTTGAAAATGTTGACTTCTACATCCTTCTCTCTTTTTTCTAATTTTCTTTTTTTAGAAACTTAAAATATACATTAGAATATTAAATACTCTAATAAAGAGACATATTGAATTTGCTTAACCAAGCATTTTTCAAACTTCTTGAGCCATGTAAAACTTTTTTCACAGTATTAGTATTTCAAAGCACAAACTTTGGGAAATGCTGACTTATGCCAAATAAGTTACCTCACACACACACACAAAAGAATGAATCTAAGACGATTTAACATAACCCTAAGTGCAGAAGGATAAATGAAGGATAATATAAGTATAGCTTACAGAGAATTATAAAACTGTTGTTTTGTATTATTACAAAATTATTATTTAAAATATTCAAATACATTGAAATATTATGTGGTTAATTGGGAACATAAACTTTTACCAACTTTACAACTAGAAAAAGTAGTTACTTCAGATTCCAGTTCTACCACTTACAGGCTGTACGTTCTTGGGAAAAGCATTTCACCACTCTGACCCACAGCTTCTTCATCAGCAAAGGCAGGATAATATTATCTATCTTGTTCCAGGATTGCTATGAAGAGTAAATTAGGTACATTAATTCGCCTGACACAGTGTCTTTCCCTGGCAAACTATAGCTTATTTTTCTGCCACTGAGAATAGGGCCACTCTCCAGCCTCAGCACTTTATGGATATATCCTAGAATTGACGTGTAATTGGTGACTGTACGGTAATGACCCTGTGATGACTCACTAAATATACAGCATATTCCAAATATGGGAGTAATAATAAAAATCACTTCTTCTACTAACATAGGAAGTACTAACATCTACATTAATTTCTGCATTTTGGCTAAAGAACTGGCCAAGGCTGATCTGCATGCTTAGTATTGGGATGAAAATTCAAGGGAGATACTAAGCAAGCTTCATCGTTCACAATGTTAGTACACTAACTTACATAATGAATTACAATATTAAAACAACAATCATGTTTATAGCAATATCCTATAAGGATAAATTTATGTTATTATCCAGTTATTCCACTTGCAAAACAATATTAACTGAAACCCTGCCTACTATGTAATTTGTAGGTCACATAGTAGGGGCTGGACATGCCAACGTGAATGAAGTAAACGCCTATGCTCCATGCACTAACAAGCTAGGGAACTACTGCATTCAGAGTACAGAAAATGAGCTTTTGCTCCAGAGCTCCAAACCAAGCAGAGAAGTACAATATAGAAAACACAAAGCTCTCAGGAGAAAAGCTAGTTTAGACCATGTGTCAGTCAAGGTGAGCCCTACTATGCTACAGTAACCAAATGATATCCCAAACCTTTATTTCTCATTCATGCTGTGCATTTACCACGTGAGAGTTCTCCTTCTGTGTTGTTATCATCCTCTCTCTGGAAATATTTGCCAGCAACCATCAGAGACGGGAAAGAAACTCTTGAAGGTCTCATATGGGCAAGACTTTCTGCAGGTTATTACACCCAAAACTCATTGGCCAGGGGTGGTCACATGGCCCCATCCAACAACGAGGGTGCCAAAGTACAGTTTTACCGTGTGACCAGACCTAGAATATTTAATGCTTGCATGGGCCCTTTTCCCAACTGGTAGTAACATCTCTTACTTTTCTTTTCTTACTTTTAGTCTGATTTTTTTAGTTTAATCTTCATTTTTATGTAAGTTTCATGTAACTATAATGTGTCTCTGAAGCTAGACTACCTGAGTTCAAATGTGGGCTGTGCTTTTACTTTTACTGACTGTGTGACCTTGAGCAGACTGCCTGAACAGCTCTGTGCTTCATTTCTCTCCTGTGTAAAATGCAGATAAAAATTATATGTACCTCATTCATTCATTGTATAAGGATTAAATGACCTAAATAAAGCACTTAAAACAGTTTTATTATTTTGATAAAAGCAATTTCTTTCTTCCTGCATTTTTTCCTCCCCAAAGATAATCTCTTAACCTTTAGCTAATTCTTTTAGTATTTTCCCCATATCTCTAAATAATATAATTTCTAATTAAAAACATAATTTCTAATTATGTTTTTAAATTTTAGTCATTACCTAACTAAATAAAGCAATAATGCACCTCTTTTTACCCCACCCCTCTCTTATGTGCATAATTCCTATTTTCTCATCCTCCTAATATATGTATACTGAATTTGAGTAAGATTAGTATTTACTGTTTACATTATTATGATAATTAAATTATATGATTATTTTCCTTTCCTGGATAGCTTTTTGTTTTCCCTGTAGTTAATAATCATTTATTGTACATTTGCTTGTTTTTCTATATGGTTATGATAATCCCCGAACTATTCTCCAGTTGGATAAGTCTTCTCTGTATATAATGAGATGCTTTAGGTGTTTCTATTGCATCTTCATAAGGAATCTTTTTGAAGAGTCCTCTGTTCTGCTGCAGTCTAGACTGGTCACTGGTTGCCTAGTGTACAACGGTCACCCTTGGATTTCCATTTACCACCATATTAAGGACTCTTCTTACCACTCTCTGATATTGGGTTCCTTCTTTTTGTATTGCATGGTGGAGCTTTCCCCCAGTAGCATTCTGGAAGGGTGCTTGCGAGCTAATTTTTAGAGACATTGTATATCTAAAGGTGTATTTATTCTACTTAACATTTATTCAAGGTCTTGGATAAGTGTAGAATTCTTGGTCAAAATTTTTTTTCTATTTTGAAGGTATTGTTTCATTGCTTTCCAGCTTTCAGGGCTAAGTCTGATGTCATTCTAGTTCCAGAGGTTCTATATGAAAACTTTTTCTTCTCTCTCTGGAAGGTTTTAAGTTTTCTTTTGACCCTGATGTTCTAAAATTTCACCATGATGTACTAAGGCATTTTTTGTTTGTTATATTGGGCACCCGAAAAGTCCTTTCAACATGAAAACTTATACCCTTCAATTGGAAGACATTTTCTTAAATTACTTCATTAAGTATTTTTTCGCATTCTTTTTCTCTCCTCTATCTTACTAGAACTCTTGTTATTCAGATGTTGGATTGCCTACATTTGTCCTTTAATTTTCTTTTCTTTTCTTATTCTACTTTCCATCCTTATATCCTCCTGCCTTACTTTCTTGGAGATTTCACAGCTTTAATTGCTAAGCCTTCTATTGGGTTTCTCAGATTTGACAACATGTCTTTTAATTGCCAAATGCTCTCTTTCGTCCTCTGGTTTCTTTTATGTACTCTTTTTATAAGGATGCAAGTCTTCTCTTACCTCTCAGAATATTAATGATAGTCTTTGTTTCGTTTTGTATTTTCCTTTCACAGAATAATCTTTCTTTTCTGTAAGTTGCTCTTTTTTTTACTTACTTTTGGCCTTTGTATTTTATGTTAGATGCTTTACTCAACTGCCTGGTGATTCTTGAATATATGCTTAGATTTCAGAGAAGGGAAATCAATAGCCATTGGGAAGCTCTGAGCACCTGCATAGGGCTCTTGACTTACAGGATTCATTGTAGGGTGACCTGGCACCACCTTTCCATTGGGATATCACCAATATCAGAATCTTTGGGTATGTCGTCTTAGGCTGATCAAGTACTCCACAGAAGTTTCTTCCAGTGTCCTACCTGGAAGGTGTAAGTTTCAGTATGAGTGTTCTGAGAACCCAATAGGGAAATATTATGTATAAAAAGTTATGGATAAATCTCCTCATTTTGGGTACACTATCACCAGCACCAGCACTCCATTTTCAACACTACCTGATGCCTCTCACTGCAGAGATGTCTGTTGTTGGCTTGTTTGTTTGGTTGGTTGGTTTTTTGTTTGTTGATTTCCAGACAACAAGCCACTAGCTTTCTTCTAGAGTGGGGAAGAAGTATTTGTCCAGTCATGTAGTAGAGGGGTAGATCGAGAAGTCTAACTACTTTTTGAACAGACTTCCACACATCCTCCTAGTTTTTAGCTCACACTCATCCCTCACTTCCAGAAGTCCATGGAGACCATGGAGTGAGTCAGATCACTTCTGAGCTTTCTCCACTGCTGGCTTCAACTTCATCTGTCTCAAGTCTTAAGTCTATCTATCCATCTGCTTTCCAGCTACTGAAATTTACTTGTTTTTGTCTCCTTTCCCATCTCTTTGTCTTTAAAAGTTTATGTTGTTTCCTTTTTTTTTAATTTCTACTCTGCTTTTAGTGAAGTTTGGGGAAAAGGTAGTATGTAGTGAATATGTTCACTCCACCATATGAAGTCCCAGCAGCATCATCATTTTCAAGCAGCCAAACTCATGTTCCAGTCAGAAAAAAGAATTATGTTGCTTTGTTCTGCAAGGAATAACCATTAACAACATAAGCTTGAAACTGGCGTGAATGCTTGTGTCAGTCATCCCTTCCTATATAATCATAGCAAAAGGAACACTAGCCCTCAGTCAAAGGCATTTGCCCAGGTTTCTATGCCTACCAGCAGTGATAGGGACCATATTCCCATCTCCAGTGATATGTCTGTCAGCAGTCTGGTGGTCATACCAACAACTTCAGCTTCCCTTCATTACACAGAATATGAGAGTTAAAATCAGTGATTATGTAGTCCAGCTTCATGAACTATCATTTGCAAAGACTGTTATAGGAAGTATAGTTAAGTCTCTATCTTTATTAGTACAAGCTCCATGTTATAAACAGAACCGCAGCGCCTCATGCGTAGTAGTGCCCCAATGAATATTTGTCCAATGAATGAATGTCGGTTTTCCCAGGTACTGACTTTTTGAGCTTGGGCAATTCATTTCACTTCTCAGCCTCAGTTTCTTCTTCTGAATAATGAGAGTGATGATAATCATACCCATCGCTACACATATTTTTGTAAACCAACATACACAATGAAGGAAAAAAACTGTCCCAGAATGTTAGCAGTGGTTATGCAGAGGTGGAGTTTTGCTCTCTTCTTTTCTATTCTCCAGACTTTCTGTAATGTGCTTATATTAATTTCATAATGAAAAAAATTAATGAAATATGTAGACTTACAAGGAAAGCTTTGCCAACATTGAGAATTGTATGAATATTAAAAGGCAATTGTGGGAGTTGGGAGAAAGACAAACAAGTTAATTCCATGTATTTTTATCCTACTTTAAAATAAATCAAAATTTCCAAAGCAAAGAGTATCAACAAAACACCTAAGTGGTTTCCTCTATAGTTATAAATACTACTTACCTCCAGCATTTTTGAGGAGTTGTTCATTGAGTTAACCACTGACATCTCAAGACACAAGAGCTTCTTATAGGAATGAATGAGCAGAATCCCTACATGAACCTGAGGATAAGTGACACTAAAGGGATGGGGGAGGGGAAGGCAGGAAGGAAGGAAAATGGAAATGGGAGTGTTGATCTGCCCAGTGGAATTCATACTGTATTTTTTAAAATATATTCCAGAAAGTTCAAAATTACAAACCACGGGCCGCAAACAGTCAGTCTCAAGGAGCCTGAAGCACCTGTTCCATTCCTCAAACAAGTTTGTGAAGACCTTAAAACGGTGGGTTCTGTGTAGTTTTTTCAGGAATGCACTGGTTTTGGTTCTGAGTGGAAACTTGGTAGAAATTTCTTTTTTGTGTTCAAAAGAATAAAGTTCACTTTTCTCCTGAGAATTTGTGCAAGACAGTAATTTCTCTGAGGTGTAACTAGTGAACTTGTGATACCTGGCAGGAATACGTTCCAAGGTATATTTTAAATACATCTTTTATCATGTCCCCAAAAACAATTACTTTTCCAAGATGGTTGAGGACAATGCTTTTATTTTCCTTTTTCTTTTTAGGGGACTCTACATAGCCGTTATATTTTATTACAAAGACAATATGTTAGTCACCAATGAAGATCAAGTACCAATTGTTGAAATAGATGACTCTCACACCAGTTCCATTACACAAGATTTTCTGTGGTTCACGAAGGTATACTAAGTTCTGATTTCATTTTTCCCCACTTTGTACTAATGTTACTATACATAAATCTCTGAAACATGAGTTGAGGAGTCTCCAGCGATCAAAGTTTTGGGGTAGAAATAAAGTACCTCAAAGGTCCTTTTCAGCCCTAGTATGCCCTATCTCATTAAAAAAAAAAAAAAAAAAAAAGTAATGTGTACACTACGTTTTCAAAGCAAAGAGGCTTGCATCCCATCACATTGTGTCTCCACTGTTCTGAGTTATGGGATCATTTGGCAAAGACTAAAATGTGGATCTGACTGTTTCATTAGCATTCAGATCTTTTTCCAACTGGACAGAGATCAAAAAGTTGTTTCGTGTGTGTCTGAAAATGGACTGGAGAACAAACATCAGGGGTCAGGTTTCTTTCTCCCTGCTTTGCTTTGATGCCACAACCTAAATCATGTACTGGCTTGGACGATGAGCTGACCATGTGCCTTCTTTTGCAGCTGTCTTGTATGTGGGAAGATATAAGGTGGTTGAGGCAAAGCGTACCGACCTCCTCATCCTCATCCACGGTGCTGCAAACTCGGCAGAAGATGCTCGCAGCAACAGCACAGCTACAGGTAAGGGACCAGACTTCAACCCAGATCTGTCCCAAAAAAATTTTTAATGTGGACAATTCAGTTACCAGTCCCACCCAGAAAGGAAAAGGGTGGGCTCCCTTCTCTTTCAGACCCCTAAGAATATGAAGTTTTCTAAGTTTTCTTGGACAGTTGGAGCTGCATACCTGTATGTATGCAGGTTTCATGTAGGAAACCTGTACCTTTAGCAGTCTCCTCCAGATGAGTCTCTTTTGAGCAGTGTATAGGTGTAACTCATTAAGCAAGGAAGAAGGAGACTTGAGTTCTAGATTTGATATTAATCAGCCAACTCATTTATCCTCTCTGAGCCCCAGTTTCATCATTTGCAAAAGAAGAGAAGTTTGATGAGATCACTTGAAAGGCCATTGCTGCTCTGGCGTCCTATGCATTGATGAGTATATGGAGATAGAAAAAAGAGAGGAGCAGATATTTTGAGCAGTTTTATGGTGTGATGTTTTTGATAAAGCATAGACATGTTTGCTTATTTATTTAAAAACAAACATAAAGCAACTCTTAAAAGATTATCTTTAAGCCTGAATTTATTCATCCTTCCATATTCTCAATCCCATCAGATCAAGTCGCCAATCTTTGTAGGTTACAGAGCTCCTCCTAGAAGTAGCATTAAATTCTCAACAAGGTTTTCTGGGTTTTCCTCTTACTGTTTTCTGGCATTAAGTGAATTTGTGGATCTTAGCACAGAAAAAATATCTGCTACATGGAATTAGGGTCATTAAGAGATCACTGAGCCTTTATCAGTAATGGGCATCTAACTACAAATCTGTCAGTTATATCAACCTTAGAAATATGCATAACAGGAATTGATGTAAGCTGTGTTTGGCCAGGCCATATAGATCACAGCATAAAAATAAGGTCATAATAACAAAAAAAATTCGATAGCTTTGCCCCCACCTGCAATTTAGGAATGTCATTTCTTGAACCCCCACAATAAAAACAATTCAACTTCCTGCAATAATATTGTGTTGCTATTATAATTAATTTAGAAATGTAAGTTTTGCTCCTCTGTAATATATTCCATTACGTAGGTAGTTTGCGGCTTTGTATGCTCAGTGAGATTTTAGCAAGCAGTGCTCTTCCTTTCAACTCGCTCTGTTTTCGTTTGTTTTTTGTTTTTGTTTTGTTTTGAGATGGAGTCTTGCTCTGTCGCACAGGCTGGAGTGCAGTGGCGTGATCTCGGCTCACTGCAACCTCTGCCTCCTGGGTTCAAGCAATTCTCCTGCCTCAGCCTCCCAAGTAGCTAGGATTACAGGCATCCACCACCACACCTGGCTAATTTTTCTATTTTTACTAGACACAGAGTTTCATCGTACAGGCATGAACCACTGCACCCGGTCTCAACTCACTCTTGATTGCAGCATCTTCTCTTCCAACTCAAGAAGCAGTTCTTGGAGCAGACCATGAAGACGGTGTTGAATTCAAAGTGCCTCTTCAGTTCATCGCTGACCTACTTGAGTTGTACCATGCCACTCCATCTCATGCCACACTTTCTTTAGGATAAAATACATGCCCAAGAGGCTCAGACTCCTTAGTGGACCCTCCCATCGCCCTACCATACAGCCCAGACACGCCTGGATCACAGACTGAACAACTTTAGAATTTCAAGGGGGGGTCTTTATTATGTGTTTATTGGAGGCTTCCTAGAACTTTCATCTGATATCAGTAATAGGAGAAGGATGAGGCTGTTACAAGTCAGTGCAGTCAGATGCTGAGATGCAATGAAGACCATTACAATAGCATTTATTCTTCCTCAGCCTCCAAATCTATTGACCCCCCGACTTTTCATAATGCATCAGCCCACTTCTGAAGTCACTTCCTTCCTTGGCCAGCTTAGACTCCTTAGCCCATCTTAATCACTTCCTTAAAAATATTCCATTTTTTCCTTTAATATTATTTATTTGGAAAAATCCCATGCCTAGATGAATTCAACATGTCTAAAGTAGTTACACGTTGCCACATAAAAAAAAATCATCACAAAAAGGGGCTGACTGGTTTTATGTTAAATTCATGATTACAATTCTCACATGTAATGTTACCTAGTGGTCCAACTTCCTTTCTCTACACTGAATTCACTTTCTCACACTATAAAGCAACTATTTTAAAACCTTCTCCCCAGCACTTTGGGAGGCCAAGGCAGGTGGATCACTTGAGCTTAGGAGTTTGAGACCAGCTGGGCGACACGGTAAAACCCCCTCTCTACCAAAAATACAAAAATTAGCTGGGTGTGGTGGCACATGTCTGCAATCCTAGCTACTCAGGAGGCTGAGGTAGGAGAATTACTTGAGCCTAGGAGGCAGGGGTGGCAGTGAGCTGAGATCATGCCACTGCAGTCTAACCTGGGCAGCAAATTGAGACCCTGTCTCAAAAAAATTAATAAAATAAAATAAAATGTTCTCTATTCTCCCACATTCTTTCTCCTTCCCCACACTCTCCATCCCATCTCAGATGATGATTTTACTGTATAATTCATCTAGAAAAAGATGGGAATTACCGATTTCCACACTGCCAAATTTACAAACCTCCTTGCACAAACAGAACCTTCTTTTTTCTTCTTCTTATTTCAGAAGATAAAGTCTCACATTTTCCACCACAAACGCATTCGCCCACATGTATTCTGTGTCCCATCTCTTCCCTCTCATTTTTATTTTAAAAGACTCAAGTCTTTCCAGTTTAACATCCCCCCAAATTCCTCCCATAGTTCCGCATGGCCCTTCAGCCACCTAGCTATTCTCTTCTTTATACCCAAACTTCTTGGAAGAGTTATCTATATCCTCTTTCTCCACTGAAGTCCTCATTTCCTATCAATTCTCAACCCTCTCTCTGACTTTTGCTGCCATAATGCATACAAAACTGCTCTTTAAGGGCACCAGAAATCAGAGGCAGATGATGCTGCCAAAGCTGGAGCTTCGGGATCCCTCACTTGAACAAACTATGAGCGTGGGACCCCTGTGAGTGTAGGACCCACAGTGTTTTAGGGAAGGGAAGCTGGACTGAAATCAGGAAGCACTTCTCACAAACTGCCTAAAGAAATTTCAGGGGGTAAGGGGACCCAAAATTCCAAACACTCTAGTACTTGCTGGAAAGAAGGAAATTTCTTTTATCATTCCAGATAAAGATTCGCTTTTATACCTAGTTTTATATTTGTAATTTTGTATCCTTTGTCTTAAAGAGGGCCTCAAAATTGTGTGGTTCAGGCCCCCACAAAACCGTGAGCTGTTCTTCCCAATGACTTCAGTTTCACTAAGCAACATTGTGTACACTTGGTTCCATCCTCCTTTTTAGACTAACATATCCCTTGGCTTCCACAATTTCACCCTCTCCTGATTTTCTTCCAACTTGCTTGTCTTTCTCAGTATCCTTTGCTAGTTTTCAAGCTGTTTTCTTTGCTTTGAATCTCCTTCTTCCCTCACGTTGCCTTACTAATTCCTGTATATCCTCCAGGTCTCAGCTTAATTTTTATACTTCCTTAAAGCACCTTTCTCTGATCTCTTGATGAGGTGAATCACTCTCATAGCACCTTGTATTCTTCATTCAGAAAAGCAATCAGAATCCCAGAGTTAATTATTTGTATTATCTGTTTCATAACCCACTTGGACTGTGAGTTCATGAGTTTGGGGAATGTGTCTGTCTTGGCTACCACTATATCCCCAGTGCCTGGTATGTGGCAGACACTCAGTTAGTACAGGTTGGATAAATAAATATATATGTCAATCCAAACCCATATATCCCAATGATCACACTTGAGGGAAACTATATCTAACCAAAGGGAAAAGGGATCACAGAAGTGTTTTGTAGCATAGTTACCACCTGGATGGATAGCTCCCTGGTCCTGCACCATGAGCAGAGAGCCTCATGTCATCAATGAATGGTCACCTTTGCAGAGCCCCCATCAAGGCCTGAGTACTGTGTGCGTGCCCTTCTCTCCAAATTTCTGTAGGCCTAGTTCAGTGATAGACATTGCTTTCATCACTTTTTTTTGGTAGGACTTATGGCTCAAACTATTTACTAGTCTCTACAATGAAAATGTCTAGAAATATCGAAGGTGCCTTCTGTTAAGGAGGGAGGTAAGAATAGTGGAAGGGAGATGTAAGTACACAAAAGCTTTTCTAAAGGAAAAGAAAAAGAAATTTGAAGATTGACACATAATGAATATGTTAGATCACTCTGCCCACTTAAAATATTTTACAATGTGGCTGGGCACGGTGGCTCACACCTGTAATCTCAGCACTTTAGGAGGCTGAGACGGGCAGATTACCTGAGGTTGGGAGTTTGAGACCAGGCTGACCAACATGGAGAAACCTCATCTCTACTAAAAACACAAAATTAGCCAGACATGGTGGCACATTCCTGTAATCCCAGCTACTTAAGAGGCTGAGGCAGGAGAATTGCTTGAATCCAAGAGGCAGAGGTTGCAGTGAGCTGAGATGACGCCATTGCACTCCAGCCTGGGCAACGAGAGTGAAGCTCCATATCAAAAATGTAAACAAACAAATAATAAATGAATGAATGAATGAATGAATAAATAAAAATTTACAATGTTCTGAGGAAAGTAAAAATGCGTTATACATAGTTTGATTGGCGTAGATGAATTCTATTGGTTTGCCTCTGGTGCATCTCATTTGACTCTCCTGTCCTTTCCAGTTTTGTATACTACTGCCTGATTACTCCAATTAGGTCAAAAGCCTCCAAAGTCATCCCTCTGCTACCAGTCTTAACACTCTCCGATCCACTCTCCATACTTTGCCCAGAGTAGCCAATCTAAAAGATTCTGACCAAGGCATTCCCTGACTTAGACTCCTCCAGTCGTGGCTCAGACATTCTATCATGGCTCATAAAGGCTTCACTCATGATCTTTCTCCCACTCATCTGAACCAGTAGTCATGGGGCTTAGTCACTGTGTCCAGTGCCAATAGTCACTGGGCTTAGTCACCGTATCCAAGAAGTCAGGGGACTTACCTTCATCACAGTGCATATCAAGCACTGTGCAACTTGCACCTTGTTTTCTGGGTTTCTGCTCTATAGTGAGATCCTTTAATATATAATAATAAATAATAATCATGAAGCGACTACTTGCATTTATTTAACAGACCAGGTGCCAGGCACTGTGTTGAGTGCTTTACAAACTTTAATCTCATTTCATCTTTACCACAACCTAATGAGAAAGTACTATTATTGGTATTCTTATAACAGATTATAACACTGGAGCCTAGAAAGGCTCATTTGCACCCAAAGTTACATAGATAAGAAGTAGCAGATTCTAGATTCAAATCCAAATTTATATAACTCCAAAGCCTGCATTCTTTCCAGTACTTCATCATCTTACTGTGAAGTAAATTACAAAAAAAGCAGACAAAACTTTAAAGAGAAAAAATTATCCATATTATAGTAAAAAAAAAAAGTCTATTCTTAATTAAAATTACCTAGGCAGGAGGAGACACAAGTATCTCAGCATTTGGGGGAAAAAAGCATTAAGATGAGAAAGGCTGTAAGTGACCAAGAGCCTGCACTGTTTTTCTTTCTCTTAGGAAAATGACAGAGGGCCCCAAGCGGGAGAAGCGTACATTGCTCTTACATTGAAAGGTGTCTAAACTACTTATCCCCCAAAGACAGTAAAAATCTGACACTGCAGATTGTGCTAAACTTTCCTCCTCCGTAGCTTTTAGAAACAAGTGTTAGTGAGTAAGAGCTAAGTAACAATATATTAATACTGCGTCCTTTCCATTTGTCAAGGGGGAAAAAGATTTTCCCAAAATTTCACTCTTCTTTTTCAGGCCTCCTTATCCCAACTCTGGACTTTCTTCACCTTCCCATGTCCACGTTGCCCCAAACTGAATAAAGGCCTCTAAATATTGTGCCTCTGCCTAGGGCTTATTTACAGTCCCATGATTTGTTCTGGTTATAACCTAGAAGCATTCCTGTTAGCCATCAGGGGCCCCAGATCACCTAACCTTGATTATGATAGGTATTACCATGGTCTATTTTTTCTTTAGGCCCTAAAGAGCCCTGAATTCTTCTTCATGGAAGATGGTTGCAATTTATTTTCACAATAATATTCTACTTTTAAATTGGGCTTTCCCCATCCAACCTAATTTGATGTCAATACAAAATTTCAAGAAGACTTCTAGTGTTTTCTTATTCAATCCATTAGAAAACCTATCTACAGCTGATAGTGAACCACTGATAATAACTTTGCTTAAGTGAAAAGACCACCATAATCAATGTCTATCCATCAGCTTTGGTCCAAAGCGAATCACATTTTCCAGCATCTTAATGATAATACAATAGTTAATTCAGCCAACAAAAAGTAACTGAGTTCTTTCCATGTGGCAGGCACTGGGCAAGGAACACAGAGACTCAGAGGTGAAACAACTAGGAATTCATAATGTGAACTCATACACCAATACATTCAGTAAAGCCAGAGACATGCTAAGATGGAAGTTTGTACAGGAAACAGTAGGGGACAAAAGAGGGGATGGTAAATTCTACCTCAGAGAGTTGGAAAAGTCTTCCCAGAGAAGATGAAATCTGGGATAGGTCTTGAAAAGGAATAGATGTCAGCCTGGGTGGGATTCCAATTAGAGCAGTCAAGAAAGCCCCCACCCTACATTGTATTGAGAGTTTGAGAGTTTGCAAAATACTTTTTGATGAGTTGCTTGATTTAATCTGTCAAACACTGTGAGGTAAGGATTAGCATAACAGCTGTCTGAGCTGTGAAGACTCTTACTTGTAGACGATGATACTCGGGACCAGAGAGGGTAAATCGTTTTTTAGAAGTCCAACTATTAATAAATGGTAGCCAACCCTGAAATTCAATACCAAATATAAGTAAAGGCTTAATAGCGACGGTAGGCTGGAGCCCACTTGTACTGGTCCAAGAGAGCCAACGGTCAAATAGTCAGGAATTTTGAAAGCCTGTTGTCAAACCCTGGGTGGCTTGGAATCCTACTACAGCAGAGGTATTGACCCCACAGAAACTGGCATATGCTACAAATCAGGCCTTTCTTTTCTTTCCTTCCTTTGTTTTCTTTTTGGCTAGCCTGTTTACCAGCATCACACTGCTTATTAGTACCCGGTAGGACTGCACTAAAAGCCATACCCACTTCTCTATGATTTAGAAGTCAAATGTTGGAAAGAAAAAACATGACTGAGTGATTATGCCGTTACAAAAAAAATCATAATCTTGCCAAATGAATTTTTCTGTCAAAATTATTTATGAAATTCCTTACTTTTTCTATGTCGGGTCTTTGTGAGAAAGTAGATAAGGTTTAAGAACGCAGACCCTACCTGTGAGGGAAAATTCTGGTGTTTTCATAATTGTAGATATTGACCCCCGGGCTCATTCATTTTTAGGTCATCCTTGTCACTTTTACAAGTCCTGGTTCCACGTCTGTTCTCATGCTAACAGGGCATCACACCACCACTTAGGTGAGCTCACAAAAATAACAGCTAGGAGCTCTGAGATGCTTTCTCATGTTTAAAAATCATAGATATTTGAAGCAACAGGGGATTTTATCCTATTCATCCAGTGTTCTAGGTTGACAACAACTGCCTGAGCCCTTCCACATTTAATGTGGCATCTTTCCGTTCCTACCTTCCTAAAGTATTGTCTGCCTCAGTTGACCCAGTTTATAAGCCATCTTAACAGATTTTTAAATAAACAGAAGCCCCTGAAATGCAGATAAGTCAAACCAAGCTAATTTCCCAATTAAAGTATCTTAAAGGGAACGTGCAGTCATTTGGGGACCTGTACAATGTGCTACATTGTCAATTCACTTCTTCATTTTAAACAACCCCACCTCATACCAGCTTACTGCAAATCTCTTGAGAACTCCACAGATGCATATTTTAAATATCAGACATTTTTCTTTAAAACATCTGGGATTCTCTTCAAGTGCTGGTAACTGAGGTTTATGTACTGGTGTGTCTATGTGGGTGAGAGATATTTACAGATACTGAATTTGCTTTTTAAAAAAAAAACCATAATTTTTGTGGGCCTTGCTATTATCTTTGCAGGCTCTGCAATCTTTACAAATGTCTTTGTAAAGACATTTGCTTTGAGCTTCTGTGAAGTACATTTGTATAATGCCATATATTCTAGGCTTAAGTGCAAAAAAAAAGAGAGAGCAAACAGCTTCTCAGAAATCAGATCATTATTCACGGTGTCTTTTGTTGCTGTTGTGTTGCTTTGTTTGCGTAATACCCTCTAAGCTACCAGTAATCTATTTGTTTCCAGAATTTACTTGGGACACACAATCTGGGAAGAGTTTACTATGAGCCCATTAAAGATCGACATGGAAACATACTCATAGTCACCATCAGGGAGGTGGAGATGCTTTATTCATTTTTTAATGGCAAATGGATGCAGATCTCAAAGCTACAAAGCCAGAGAAAGTCTCTATCAACACCTGAGGAGCCAACAGCTTTAGACATTTTACTGATAACCATCCAGGTACGTAGTTTTTTCTTAATTCTCAAGTATATTTAAGATTCCAATCCCAATTATTGAGGGTCTAGTGAAATACAGCAAGAGCCATTTATGTATGCAGTGATGGAATACAGAGGGTCCAGAGACATGTTGCAAATGCAGAAGCTTATTTTTTTTTTTTACCACTCCCTAGATCTAGAATTCATTAGGCAACACAAATAGTGGGAACTCAGTAAAACATTTTCATGCCCTGGCTAATGAGCCAATAAGAAACATTGAGGCCAGGCACAGTGGCTCATGCCTGTAATCTCAACACTTTGGGAAACTGAGGTGAGTGGATAACTCAAGGTCAGGCGTTCAAGACCAGCCTAGCCAACATGGTAAATCCCGTCTCTACTAAAAATAGAAAAAATAAATAAATATAGCTGGGTGTGGTGGCACACACCTATAATTCCAACTACTTGGGAGGCTGAGGCAGGAGAATCGCTTGAACCTGGGAGGTGGGTTGCAGTGAGCCAAGATTGTGCCACTGCCCTCCAGCCTGGGCAACAGAGCAAGAACTCCATCTCAAAAAACAGAAAAGAAAAAAAGAAAGAAAAGAAACATTGAGATAAATAATTGAGTAGGGAATAGGAAATCCCTAGACAGTATAATCAAAACATTAAACCAATATCTGAATAAACTGTAATAATACATTTCTAAATTATATATATTTGTGCATGTGTATATGTGTCTATATGTGTGTATGTACAAAAGCAACCTTATACATATTTACTCCTGCATATCCCTTACAATACTCCCTTGGGACAGACAGACATGATTAAGTCCATTTTAGGAATGAAATAAAGAAAGGCTGGGTGCAGTGGCTCACACCTGTAATCCTAGCACTTTGGGAGGCTGAGGTCAGGGGTTCAAGACCAGCCTGGCCAACAAGGTGAAATCCTGTCTCTACTAAAAATACAAAAATTAGCCAGCCTGGTGGCAGGCATCTGTAATCCCAGCTACTCAGGAGCCCAGGACAAGAGAATTGCTTGAATCCAGGAAATGGAGGTTGCAGTGAGCTGAGATAGCACCACTGCACTGCAGCCTGGGCAACAGAGTGAGACTCTGTCCGCCCCCCACCCAAAAAAAGAAGAAATAACTAGAGCTTAAAGAAGTTAAATGACATAGAGCTATGCACAGAGGCAATTTAGTGACGCTAATGAAGCTGTGAGGTCCTTCAGCCTTCCCTGGTACAAGCCCGTTCCAGGTCCTCGCAGAGACCCTAGCAATTCAGAGCTTTGTGTTGTTTTCCTTTAAAAAGACACCAGAAACTATATTCACTTAGTTTCCACCAAACTCAGTTTTGTCCCTGGGCACACAGCTAGCAAATGGTAGAGCTGAGTCTTCAATTCAGATCTTCTGATTGGAAGCAGGCTTCTTTCTGCTACACTATATTCACATTCTGAGGTAGAAGTCAGGATTTTAGTGAGTGAGAGACAGAAGATGAAATTGAAGATAAAAGATTGACCTGAATACAGTCTGATTGGAAGCAGGCTTCTTTTTGCTACACTATATTCACATTCTGAGGTAGAAGTCAGGATTTTAGTGAGTGAGAGACAGAAGATGAAATTGAAGATAAAAGACTGACCCGAATACAGAATAGCCACCAAAATTCAAAATCCAGGTAGCTTAGATGCAGCCCTTGGCCTGGATGGTGGAACTGAGACACCAACCCACGTATGCTCCTGAGTCCAGCACACTCTCTCTGCCTCACACGTTCTTATGTAAACATGGACTTCAAACTGTTTGTTTTTTTCTTTCTTTCTTTTTAAACCCAGTGATAGATATGAATTGTGTAGGACACTTCAGTTAGGTACAGAAGCTGGCAGGAACGTCTGCACTGAGTCCAGTGGAAGCAGTGGCACATCCGCAGTGGCCAACCTGGAGTAAGGGAGAAGGGAGGGCCCAGTGGCACAGAAATAACCCAGAGATGAGCTTCCATGCCAGGAGCTATTCATGGTCACCCTAAACAGCTAACTTACTTTCTAAGTTACTTTCAGTCCCCGCCAAGGGGTGGCAAGTACAATAATCTCATTTTTTCATTACTCGTACTGGCCCAAACCAGGACAAAGGCCAGTGAAGCAAAGGTAAGCTAATTGGTCAAAGCCAATACCTCTGGATTTAATTTAATGGAATTTGGGTTCATAGGGAATTGACAGAGAGTATGTGCTTGTGTGAAGGAGGTGGGGGCAGGGAACACAGACACATTTGAGGCTCCCCTCTTCACCTTTTATAAGCAAGTGCTAAAAGAAACATTTAAAAAATCATAATAAATTGAGCTTTTACAGGGTGACTAATACACTAATCCCCTATAGGGATAAACTAGGGTCTGGGCTACCTTTGCTCCTAGAAACACAGTACAGGCCTCAGCATGATATAATACCTGGTTTCTCCTAGACTTATTACACTAAAAATGTGTTACAGGTGCAGAAAAATTCCAGTCTGGTGAAAGGTTGTTAGAGAAGGAAACCAAAAATAGAGGCAGGATCGGGTTTCCACACAGATCCAAGTGGAAAATTTACCCCCGCTGACTGGCACATTCCCACTTGATGTCATTCCCACCCACCCACCCCCCTTCTCCTCCCCCTACTTCTTCTCTCTCCCCTCCTTCCCATACAAGTCTTACACTAGAGGAAATAAGGAATAAAACTACTAGGGCTGGTATCCAGTCCCTCCTAGACTTAAGATTTAATTATGTCAGGAGTTGGCCCCAGCAACTCAACATAAAGGGAGAGAGAGGTCTTGGTGGTGCCCAAAGCAGGCTGGTAATTCCCACAAGAACAGGCCACAGACCACTCTCTTTTCTCAGGGGCGGTGGAGTAATGACCACTGAGCCTTCTCATTGGAAGCCTGGGCTTCTTTCTGCTACGTCACATCCCATTCTGGGCACCACTTTGAAATGAGGATGACTGAGTATGAATCCCAACTCCGCCCTTTCTGGTTATGTGTCCAGGGCATGATTTAACTTTTTCATCCCTCATATTTCTTCCTTTGCAAAAATGGAGATAAGTGAGTTAGTATGTAAAGGAATGAAAGAGTAGCATAAAGTAGTGCTCAATAAATATTAGTGATTTTTATTATGTCTCAGAAAATTTCTTTTTACATTTTTTAATTTTAAGTTCCAGGGTACATGGGCAGGATGTGCAGGTTTGTTACATAGGTGTGTCATGGTGACCTGCTGCACCTATCAGCCCATCACCTAGATATTAAAGCATGTATTAGCTATTTTTCCTGATGTTCTTATTCTCCCTTAACCCTACCAATAGGCCCCAGTGTATGATGTTCCTCTCCCTGTGTCCATGTGTTCTCATTGTTCAGCTCCCACTTATAAGTGAGAACATGTGGTGTTTTGTTTCCTGTTCCTGCATTAGTTTGCTGAGGATAATAGCTTCCAGCTCCATCCATATCCCTGCAAAGGACATGATCTCATTCCTTTTTATGGTTGCATAGTATTCCATGGTGTATATATGTTACATTTTCTTTATCCAGTCTATTATTGATGGGCATTTGGGTTGATGCAATGTCTTTTCTATGGTAAATAGTGCTACAGTGGACATACATGTACATATATCTTTATAAGAGAATGATTTATATTCTTCTGAGTATATACCCAGTAGTGGGATTGCTGGGTCAAATAATATTTCTGATTCTAAGTCTTTGAGGAATGGCTACACTATCTGCCACAATGGTTGAACTAATTTACATTCCCACCAACAGTATAAAAGTGTTCCTATTTCTCTGCAGCCTTGCCAGCATCTGTTGTTTCTTGACTTTTTATTAATAGTAATCACCATTCATGTCTCAGAAAATTTCAAGCAATGCTAGACTGCCCTCAAGACACACTCAGTCCACAGAGACCTCTGGTAATAGCCTATTCATCCCATGGGGCATTTCATCACAATGAAGGAAAAGCTGTTTAAAAGTTATGTCCCACAATGGGGTTTTCAAAACAGATAACGGCTTTAACAAAATCTGGGCCTATAGCTAATTTATTAATTCCTAGGGCCCCAGAGAAACTCATGTCTAACTCCCTCAAATTCCTGACCTTCTCAAATTCCAGGCCTTCAAAACAGGCCTCTCTCACATTTATCTGTGAAGGAGCAAAAAATCCTCCTCACCCTTAGCTGGGAAGGAAAGAGAGTTATTGTGGACAAGAGTCCCTATGAGCAAACTAATTGGCTAGAGAGTATTTCCAACAGAGAGACCCCTCTCAGGTGCTAAGTTATTCTGACCATTCTCTTCAGGGATCACTTCAGTCCTGTGAATCCTCACATCCAATTGTTTTCCTGAAGCTTAATCTCTCACGTGTGCTACATATTCAGCTCTCTAACACTTTGTCACATCTGTGATATCATTCGATCCTCATGCAAACCCAATGAGGATGAGTGAGTAATTTTGTGTCCTGTTTACAGAAGAAGCCATGAATTTCAAGGAAGTATGGTGTCAAGGTCATATCAACCAGAAGAGGGCATATCAAAACCACAACCTTTGACTCCTAGGCTGATGGCCTTCCCATTCCACCATGCTGCTGTACATACCTTCTCCCTCCTGTTCTCTGCATCCTTTGTGATCCTAGGGAAGCTGTGGTGAAGGGTGCCGTCTCTTCCTTCTCATCCCTGCTTTCCTTTTCTTCTCCTTAGGCATTCCTTGTCACCTCCAGGTACTCAGTGTCTTCTTCTTATACCTTACGTGCCCAGGACCTCTTCTGCCTTTCTCTGCTTTTTTTCTGGCACATTCCTACTCTTTCTACCCCTAAGCAGCTTCAAACACAAGGATCAAAAACTACAGGAATCAGAAAGATTGATGGAAATGAGCCAATTGGGCGGGACTTAGGAAACAATTGGGTTCATGTAAAAATTTCAGTGTTCACAGAAGCGTTATTCACAATAGCCAAACAGTAGATGTAAACTAAATGCCAAACAACTGATGAATGAGTCAACAAAATGTGGTATATCCACATAATGGAATATTATTCAGCCATT